TTGCCAACACAGTGGCAGTTTATTGATACCCTTCTTAAAGAAATCAGCTGGACGGGAGGCGACAAATTCTTCATAGGCATTTTGTACTGTCTCTAGGGTATTGAACTTTTTCCCGCCAAAAAGCTATCCAAATTCTGGAAAAAGTAAAAGGCTGTCTAACCCCAGCTCTTGTATCTTGGAGACCGTCTGTTGTGCAGTATGAGCTCGCACGTTTTCGTGCAGGAGCAGCGGGGAAGACCGATTGACCAAAGCTGGTTGGAGATGTGCGAGCTTCTCCATCATTGTGTTCAGTTCTTCACGGTATACGTCATACATCTGTAGTAACGCTCATCTCGTTTGGTAAGAAGCTGTGATGAATCACACCGGCGCTAGACCACCAACCAGTAACTATCACTTTTCTATCTACTTCAAAAGGAGGAGGTATTCAATTCGACTGTATGTTTTTTATTGTGTGTTACCTCATAACCTTTTTCTTGATGAACCTGTTTTAATAATTCTTATTTTTATTTGAAAGCTATGAGAAGCACCTCATATGGTGATCAATGTCTGACCAGTAGTTTTTGAGTTATTATAATTTCTATTGAAGTCGGTTGTACAAAATTTTTAATTTGAATTATCTAGGGGCAAGTTTTCGTTTAGGGCATTGTTTAGGTGCTGAACCAGGATTAAACTAACTTGCTGAGCGCTCGCGATTGTCAAACAGAAAAATCCATTTTACGTCGCAGGGAACAATGTGGTTTAAAATTCCATCGTTTACGAGTATGTGCCCGTTGAGCAGTGCAAGGCACGTCTCGACGCGTACTTCGTGCAGGCGATCATTTTCGAGGGGCACCCATTTGTCAAGCTTTTTAACCTTGTCAATTTGACCAAATAGACCAATATTGTTTTGATGCTAACGTCTAAAGCTGCTTCTAATTCAGCCGTAGATGCAGTATCATGAGTATCTTCCACAATCGCCTTTGATTCGTCATTGTCGACCAAAGTTTTCGGACGAACACGAGGTTCATTTTTCAGGTCGAAATTTCCAGAACGGAAGCGGGCAAACCAATAACAGTTGATGCGTTTGTAGTATTCGCTCCGTAAACGTTGTTGATGTTGCGTGCTCGCGTGCCACTTGTGCCGCGTTACTGCGTCCACACACGAAAAAGATTCAAATGCAATTAAAACATAACGCTTATCAATAAACAAATGACTAATTTTGAAAAAAGAATTCCATGGATTTAAAATAAAATTAATTTAAAATTAGAATTCTTAGCCAAACAAACATTATTTTGATTTGAAATAGCCAGTACTGCAGAACGGCAATTTCATAGGTAAAGACCTATTATTTATTCCAGTTTAGAACAACCCAGATTTATGTTACGTTTCTGAAATTAGGTTCTAAATAACAGCCTGACGGCTGACATTATGCACTTCATACATGTCGATATCTAATTACAGCCCTATTAATTCTCACTAAAAGAAAATAAAAACTTGTAAATTCAAGCAAAAAATAAAACTGCATGATGTACTATATCTATAGTCGTATTCATGCACATTACAAAGCTTAAAAATAAGTTTATGTAAAATAAGCCCAATTTCATAGGGAGCATAGTTTGTCCAAAAATTAGAAAAATGCTCGTTTTCCGTTGACTACGTAGATATTTTCAATTTTGATTTTAAAATTAACTCGGACAGATTTATAATATGTGGTAATATTAGAAATATACTTTCCTCTACGAAGAATTTTTAGTTAACAATATCTGTAGTTAAGACCACTAGAAACTTTATTTATGAAGTAAAAAAGTACCTATTAAAGGCATCCACCCTAACCTTCCAATTATGTTCACCTCATAACATCACATTGGTTACTGCAAAAATGAGTATTCAATAGCATTATATTAAATTAAATCAGTTTCTTTGATTAGTGAATTAACAGAATACTTAAGTAGTTATTTTATTTCTGATAGATGATGCCGATCTTACTGATAAACTTTGAACGCCAAAATTTGTAAAATTAGACCAACGTAATATAAACTATAAAAAATATATAAATGCGAAAGTTTTGCAATAATCACGAGCAAATCAATTTATACTAATCGACTTTTTTATAACTTAGTAATTAAACATAAAACCATCTCAATTTTGCCTTTTTCGTATATTATGTCGTCATTAAGTATGTACTTATTTAAATTTAAACGCTATTTAAATAATTAATGTCAAAATTTTCTAAGCAATTTTCATTCATATTTATATATTCATTTTAATAATTTATTTTTAGTAACATGACTTATTGTATTTTACGGTAGAGTGGACTGTTTTAAAACACGTAGGTACAAGGTAGATTGTCGGCATTGTTTCAGACTATAAAGGTTTATTTAATAATTTAAACTGTATTTATATTTATTGTATACATTTTTAAGATCTTTACGTTATGCCCTAATGAAATTCCACATCTAAAAAAGGGAAAACACAACACTCTGTTTTTGCAATTCCGTATTCGAATAAAAGCAGCCTATATCGCATAATATCTTATAGTACTACGCCTACAACATGTTGCCCCAGGACACGACATTCTGGAAATTCGCCCAGTATTTTTGTGTAATCATGAATACGGCTACAGTGTCCTATATGTTTACCCATCTGGACTATTTTTTTTATTCAGAATAATATAAGAATTACAGACACAACTAACCATTTTAAAATATGTAATAAATGATTCATTGAAATATTTTTATCATAAGTTTAACTAATTAAAAAAGAAGATAAATACTATTGAAAGATTATAATATTTTAGAAAATTTAGCTTTTTATGTAGTAAGGAAGATGAACATAGTAAACCTAATAGTTGATGTTGTTGGCCATGGGCGCCGACAGAAGTGCACCCTCTTGCACACCCCTGTCAGAAAAGAAAATACATAGAAAAACTGAAAGTGTCTAGGTTGCTGTCCAAGTTTGTTCATCACCTTGTCAATAAATTCAGTATCCTCTTCTACTCTTTCCCCGTGAACACTGAGCATTCACGCAGCAGCGGGGATTCGCCAAGCAATAATGCCATTCACCAACGATTCAGTAAGTTTCCGATGAGCGAAATATATTCATATTTCGCGATACCCTCGCGATTTGAATTTGACATTATATATATCTACACAATATACATGTATAATTCTATATTTGATATTAGTTAACAGTATAATGTGTAGATGCAGATGCACCTCCCTGGAAAGTAATCCTGGCGGCGCCCATGCTGTTGGCTGCACATCTATTCTTGCTTATTCATTCTTTCATTGATGAAAGTCTATCCAAATCCATTGATCAACATAGGCCTCCTCATGTATTGCATTTATTAAGGCGGATTTTTACTATAGTTACCACGCTGGGCATGCGTGTTGACAGCCAGTTTTTTCTATTTTCTAGTAGTTTTTAGATAGACGCTATTGCCCATCTACTGATTTATTTCCCTCTGTCGCCTCTTACGGCACCCCAGGGGAGTAGTGGCGGTGTAAGAATATCCATTTAAATTGGATACATGTACATGTATTGAATTGGACACCGTACATGTTATCTTAGGTACATGTATTGGATATTCTTACACCGTCACTACTCAGCATCCCTTGTTGATTACTTTAACTATGCTTATAGTGAATAAATGGAAGATTTCTCCGTTAACAGATTAAGAGTGCATCGTTACCATTAAAGAAGGTCCCCGGTTCTCTTCATTCGCATTATACTTCCCCGGTCAAACCGAACCATTTATGAGGCTACAGTATCTTTTTAACAGTCAATGAAACTACAAAGAACTCAATTTTTTCCACATAGCCCTCGCAATGAATCACTATGAACCACTAAAAAATCTAATTATAAGAATTTTTTTTATAGAATAAGGGCGACAAACGAGCACACAGTCCACCTGATGGTAAGTGGTTGCTGTGGCCTATAGACATCTACATTTATCCTCGAATATCAAAATGTAGATGCGTTGTCACCCGTAAGGACTAAGATGGAATGCCTCGTTTCCAGTAAAAGGGTCTCCGGTTCTCTACAGTCACCATACGAAACACAGCAGCATTAAGCTGCTATTTTACGCTGGTATTCTGTGAGTGTGGTCCTTCCCCGGTCGAGCCGACCCATTCGTGTAACAACTACCAGAAATATAGAAGCATGGCTCTACCACGTATAAAAAGAATAATCCATTTTCTACCGACTGAAAATGAGGAGGTACTCAATTCGACTGTATGTTTTTTGTGTGGTTACCTCATAACTTTTTTCTGGGTTAACCGATTTCGATGATTATTTTTTTATTTAAAAGCTGGTGCTTCTCATGTGGTCCCATATAAATCAAGGTCTGACCAATAGTTTTTGAGTTATTCTTAATAATTTATTTGGAAGTCGGTTGTACAACATTTTCAGTTTTCAAATAAAAAAAGAATCGTCGAAATCGGTTCACCCAAAAAAAAGTTATGAGGTAACACACATAATTAAAAAAAACATATAGTCGAATTGAGTACAGCTCCTTTTTGAAGTCGGTAGAATAACCCTGTATATCTCATGTTGATATGGGACTTATAGGTCCCTGGTTTGTGTCTTTTAACAAAAAGAATCTAGATACCAACCGTTACTGCTTAAGCATGTAGTAAAAGGGGACTAATAGGATATTGAGTTTGTGATTGTGTAGGCAATGCGACTATCACTTTTTTCACGGTTTCCCATCTTTTTTGGATAAACATAGTCCGAGTGGCACGTCGCTTTTAGCTCTCTATATCACTCAGACTAAAACAAAGGATTGCAGGCACTGCTATTTGGCGGCAGAAATAGATAAGATGGCGGTATCGACCCTGACGCACTTCTAGGCCGAAACCAACCAACCACCATTAATGGTATTTGATCTTCACACAATATGTTAACGAATGTACTTTAGAATCTAAATTTTAATTGTAGCCCGGAAAGATAGCACAAATAAAAAAAACATTTGTGAAAAAACATATTTATTAACATATGTCTGATTAACATGCGAGAATATTTCACCAAGTCAAACGCATGACGTGATCAGTCTTCCTTTTAGATGATTTTATGAAACCTAAGAACTGGAGCTCTGCAACAGCACGCGTGAACCGCAATCTGTGACAAAAATGATGGCAAATTTAAAATTAAGAAAGAGAGAAAGAACATGTTTATTCACTACTACAATTATTGAAAATAAAAAATAAGCTAATAACAAAACATGAAATTTAAAAAAAAAGTTCACACTGGATTGCGCTGATAATCTGTCAAAGTCACATAAGGCGATTCGAGACCAATCGCTGGACATAAACTTACTAGGTACATATGCAAAGCTATTATATACATACATAATATATGCATATATATTAAATCTATTTGTCTAAGTTTTTACTTACATTAAACTACTCTATGCCGGTATCATAGTATTCCGTATTAGACATTAGGTAACAGAACTTAACAAAAACATCCTGGATATTATAATATTGAGTTCATGTCTGCAATATATGTGGGACTGGGCACGAAATAAAACTTAATAACAATACTTAAAAAATCTTCTTTTATTTGCTTCCTCCGCCTTGCTATCGCCCTCTCTGTGCCGTGCTCTCCCCTGCTACTAACTCACACACATCTTCTCTCCCTCTCTCTCTCTCTTCCTCTCTATCCTAACTCTTACGTTCCGTTCTCATATGTATTATGAATAATATGTACTGGAAATTTCCGAAGGATCTCCGAATTTCAGGTCAGGACTTGTGTGTACTTAGTGGATTTTTCCCTCTAATTTTTAAATTTAAATCTTAGCCATAATGCAAATGTGGTATGTGGAGAAAAGCACTACATTGCAGTGTCCCTAATTTAATACTTATGAAATATATTTTCCTCTAATAATTAATAATTCCGTAAGTAGTTGTAAGATTGAAAAGTAACGTGTCTTATATTACTTTTAAAAAAACTTTGGAACGAACGACGATTTGCAATCCAATCCACATGATAATCGCTGGCGTCTTTTAGTGATCGTGTAACTTCTGAATGACTTAACAGGTTGAGGTCATATTCGCAATATATTTGATTTGTTGATACGATGGTTCATAGCTATACTAGGATCCAATAGGTGGCACTTTCTTTTTTAACAAATTCTTTAAGTATTTATGAACCACAATGACTCATATTCGCATTTCGCAATAGTAACTGGTTTAATGCCAAAAAAGAAAATCACTAAGTTACGATAGGCACTCAAGTTATTAACAATTTTTATATTTACACTAAAAATCCACAGTGAATTCAGAGTGAGATCAAAGCGCCACCTACCGGAACGTTCTAAACAACCGGGCAAGCTAGTATTCTAAAATAAACCTGAGGATGCTACATTTTTATATATTATGTATTTTATAACTTTCTTTTTTAGGGTTCCGTATCCGAAGGGAAACCAACGGGACCCTATTACTAATGCTCCGCTGTCCATCCGTCCATCCGTCCGTCTGTCAACGAGCTGTAATAGGTAGACAGTTGGAAGTCGCAGAATGTGTATTTTTGTTGCCGCTATAAAAACAAATAATAAAAATAAAAATAAATTGATAACTTAAGGGGGCTACTCGTAAAGTGTTTTACGAAGGTACGGAACCCATCATGCGCGAGTCCGACTCACACTTGGGTGGCTTTTTTTATTTATACCCTAAAAAAGATTTCAAAGTTACATATTTTCCGTAATCAACGAAAATACCTCAAAACGACTGATTTCAATCTACACTTCGCTTGGTATTAAAATTTACATATAAGTTACTATATTAGTATGATAATAGCATTTTTATTACATAATTCAAAAGAATTATGTTACAAGGCCAAGGGGCATTCACTCCTTGTCCGATTCGTATGTTATGTAACGATTAGCAAATAAAAGTGACACGATATTCAAACTGGAAGCTAAGTTTCAGGGCCATGATAAGCACTTATCTGGTAACACAAGGATATTTAAACCCGGAATCGTGTCAACCGGTATTAAAAAAAACATATGGTTTAAAACAGCACGGAACCGCCCTGGTGACAATACATGAATTCGCCGCGCCGACAATGCGGAGCGTCGATAGGATGATATGTGTATAAAATTTAAATCTAATAATAATTTACAATATATCATGCGACCCATTGAAGACGCCTATCTTCCCAGCATAATAATAGAACAAAATCCGCCAAACTAGTTCATGAGAGTCGGCCATCTTTACAAGACCTCGAAATATTTTTGTCAGAGAAGCGAATTTCATCGATGAAATACATATTATTTTAGGTTTCGTATCATTTCAGAGATTATCATCATTCATTTATTCATAACTTACAAAGCTATAGCTTCGTTATTCAAGAACTTTATTATATTCTAAAAAAGAGGGGCACTGAGGGTTTCATATAAACTTAATCCAGTATGAGTTTTTCTCCATCCATCAAGTCTTAACGATTTTTTCCTGTTTTCGATACCCATACTGACAAGATATCCTCTGGGAATTTTGCGACCTTTAATTATTTTATTTTCGAATTATAATAATGTCAGCGGCCGATTGTTCAATTCGGTTACTAATTAACTACCGAGTCCATTAATATAACTGCGACGTTTAATTATCAGCCAAACTCACGACCAGACCGATATTTAATGCGGGCTTAACCTAATGTTACAATGAAAATCTAACGCGTTTTGCTAACAATTAGAAAAACGCGTTTTTGTAATTAAAACCCGATTTAAGTGTATTTTCTCTTAAGTATTACTTCCTAGCAATATCTAGAATTTACTGCTAATCAAATTTGTATGATAGCTTAAAATAAGTCGTAGGATGAGATGCGGCTTTTGGCTATTTAAATGTTCATTCCATATCTGTCATGGTTACCAAACAGCCGAATTTCAACTTACTGTCGTTATTACTACTTAATAGGTGTTCTCGTACTTTAATTACTGTTTCGGGCTATATTAGTATTTAATAGTTACCTTGATACCTGTACCCCGGACAGAAGAACGGATAGCAAAGTGAACCATCCGGTTTTCCTTTTGAGTTAGGGAATCCTAAAATGTATCTAATACTTATATCATAACCGTGATCACCTCATAAAATAGTCCATAATAAATAATAAGCCTCTAACAAAATGAAAGATCCGCAAAAGACAGTTTCCGATATTAAAGAAGTTGTCGCCGCGGTCGAAAAAGGGTGGACACTATCATAATATCATCTTAGAAACTTCCCAAATTATACACTTACTGAACACATGCATCCTGATAGCGCTGTTCGTCATCCTCGTTCGGCCTCAGCACGGCAGCGAAAGCTTGCAGCCAGTCGTAAAGGTTAATGTGCTTCCCGCATTCCCTGTGCAGTTTATAAGCCAAGCACACATCTGGCAAAGTATCAGCAACACTCTCTGACGACGGTAGCACGCAACATTTGCACTAGTGAGAAGAAAAAAAATATTGATTAGCACGTAAAAACTTTTAGTTAGTAAACATTATAATCGCCACGTTTGGCTTACGCATTGGCGATAATTGTGCCAATCGTTTTACAGCTTTTTTATTTGTTGATATGACGAAAGTAAAAAGGTTTGGTAATGGTGTTAACAGTTCGGAATTTGTATGTACAATTTGTATGTACATGTATATTATGTTAATTACCTGGAATATAGTGCGTCTTTTACTTGCGACAAGTGACGACAGTTTTTTCGCAATGCATCGAAGGCCACAGTTCTTGGCATTATAGTTAAGTTTAATAATATGAAGAAATAAACAAAAAATATTGAATTTTAAGTATTATCATCTTCTTTAATCTTGACAACACAATGGTAAGTTCTTAAAGCAGGTGCTTTGGAACTTTGGAATCCTACAAACTAAATGAATGCGTAACATAAACATGTTATTTCCTACCTTTAACAGACACTGAGTCTGGGTAGAGAATAAGTATGATTTTTTTTTTATAAAATAAGGGTGACAAACGAGCACACAGTCCACCTGATGGTAAGTGGATGTTGTGGCTCATAGACATCTACATTTATCCTCGAAATGCAGATGTGATGTCAACCCAGAGGGCTAAGATGGAATGCCTTGTTTTCAGTAAAAAGGGTCTTACACTCACCATACACAGCAGCGTTAAGCTGCTATTTTACGCTAGTATTCTGTGAGAGCGTAGTCCTTCCCCGGTCTAGCCGACTCATACAACTTTATTACTAACTAGCTGTTTCCCGCGACTTAGCCCGCATGTTATTTGGGGTTTTAATTTTTTTGCGCGCAACCCTAATTCTTTTTCTAAAATAAAAGTAGCCTCAGTTACTCCTTGTGACGTCAGCTATCTGCCAGTGAAAATCCCATCAAAATCGGTCCAGCCGTTTCAGAGATTAGCCGGAACAAACAGACAGACAGACAGACAAAAACTTTAAAAATTGTATTTTTGTTATTAGTACCGTATATACTCTCATATGCATTTAGTAAAAAGCTGTGATTTTGGCATTACAAACAGACACTTCAAAGGGCAATGGCAGAAGTTGCGTCTAGAAATAAGTTATATATAAAATGAGTTTTATTATTTTTCTATGATTTTTCAAATAAAATAGTATTTTAATAAAAGCCACAGAAAAAAACAAACATTTTTGGGAATATCAAATGAATTAAATCATTTTACCCTATTCAAGTGTTGCCATTTACTATATTCATATTATTTTCGTATACACTTTGTAAGACTACCAACACAACACACAAACACAAAATATTTTTATATTAAGTTATTATTAGTAATAACTATACTATCAGTAATAATAAAAATAAAAGTGATATAGTTGATAATAAGTCTCTTACAAAGAACTTCCTACAATAATATATTATCTCAATCATAGTAATATGTAACAATTCTATCTAATGTTATGCCAACACTAGCTAAATCAAAATGTCACGGTTTTTTTACTGGCTTTACAGCTCTGGGTTCTAGCCCTTCTGAGAGAGTCACTGTATGACACAAAGGCCATGGAGCCATGCCAGAAGTATACATTTATAGTATGCAAATATATAATAGAGTTACAATAATCTAAAAACTCTCAATTATGTAGGTAGGTACATTATGTTGAGAATGTATTAAGCTAACATAAAACAACCACAGGACGCATGACTTTTTCTAAGTGACATAAGACATAACCTTAAAAGGTTCAAATCAAAATATCTTTTTTCTGACGCCTTCTCAGGACAAAATTCTTAACGTTTTAAGATATTTTTAATATATAGACGCTACCATTCCTTCTCAACTAATTTTACCTAGTCAGGTCATAAATTCTGTCACATATTTAATATAAAATAATTGAAACAAGTTTATTCATTATGTAACCATTTATATACCAAAATGAACTTAACAAAACATAGATTCTTATGACACTAAAGTTTAATCAAAATGACCTCCGTGATTTTGAATACAGGCCTTCAATCTGCGCGGCCAGTCGTCTATCGCAGCACGAACGAGGTCCATGTCAATATCGGCGGCTGCCTTAATCAAGGATGTCTTGAGTGACTCCAAATTGGGATGAGGCTTTTAGCACGCGTTTTCCTCCAAGTGTTGCCATATCTTGTAATCTAACGGATTCAAATCTGGACTGGAGGAGGGCCAGTCTTCGTGCCGGATGAAGTCGATTTCACGCGCCGCCAGCCAGTCTTGTGTGCTCTTCGCTCTATGAGCTGGCGCCGAATCTTGTTGGAATACCCAGTGCCTGTTATTGAACATGGTATGAGTAACAGGTTCCACAAGGTTCGTCAGGACTGTACTTTGATACACAACTGCATCCGTTTTTACACCTTTCTCACAAAAATGTACCTCTGTTAAGCCCCAATAAGAAACTCCCAACCATACCATGAGCGAGGATGGAAAATGACCTCGTTGGACACGCGGAATACGGTTGCTCGCTTCTTCACTACTGTGTGCGTACACCTTATCATTTTGTTTGTTGTAGCTCTCTTCTACGGTAAAAATTTTTTCATCCGAAAAAAGAATTTCCCGATATTTTTTTCCCGCGTATCGCTTCAACAAAGCGCGGCATCTCTTCAGTCTCAGGTCCATTAGACGAGCATTCAAACGATGTCCTGTTTTTCTTCGATATGCCCGAAGCCCTAAGTCTTCATTTAACACACTTTTCACCGTGGTTCTGCTTAACCCCATCTGAAGGGCCAACAGTTTCTGCTTACGTTTGGGATTTCTTTGAATTCGCGCCTTCACAGCTTTTATCACTGTTGGAGTCCTAACAGACCGAGGGCGATCACTTCTTGACCTGTCATCTACACTAGAGTCTTCATTGTATCGTTTGATGGTACGATAAACGAATCTTTTGGTAATATTCAAATTTTTCAGTATGTCAAAAATTTGAATTGGCGCGTAACCGCAACGATGCAACGCAATAACTGCAACACGGTCTTCTTTAAGCGTCCACTCCATATTTAAAAATGAGTAAAATTCTAAAAAGTATACAGTTTTATTTTCATGAACAATTCGAAATTGGAATTCAATAAACTTTTTTGTGGCCAGCATTCTAAAAGAAAAGTTTTTACTGTGTGACAACTTATGACCTGACTAGGTATGTATGAAAGTCTGCCATTGTTCTTTATTTATCTGTATAGATATAGTTGCAGCATAGCTCAACCACGAAAAAAATAACAATTAAGTAAAAACAGAGCGATTAACAAATTGTGAAAAATTAACTTGAATATCCAATCCAAAAAAAAAACAATTATTTTATAGTTTCAAGTTTTTATTTCTGTCGACAGTCACTGCTGCCAATTTTTTTATAACTTTTATTACTTACCTGTAAATAATGTATTGGATTGCTAAGTGCCGTATGTATGGCGCCACGAGGCGACCCAACTATTTGTTTCTTCACACTAGAGACGTCATTGAAGAAAATAATTTCGTAAAACGTTTGTGTATGCGGTGGCTGAAGTCCTTTTGTAAACACGTCTTCCAAGTAATTCACGAATCTTGAACGTATCATCTCGAACTCTGACTGTACTTTGTCCACTCTCGTTGCCCGCAGTAACTTCTAAAGATAAATAATCTCCATTTAAAAAACTAATTATTTCAATAACATAATAAATAAACATAGTGCCGAAATGCATTTTGCCATGTGGTGGCCAGTGGCGTATAAGAATTAAAGCTGTAGCAAACCGTACTGTATTCGGTACTGAGTAACGGGTGCGCCATCTAGTACCGAGTAACGAAACGTTACACACGAATGCATTTCGTTACTCGCATTTTTTGTAGTATGGGTTCGCATTTTTTGTAGTATGGGTAACTACACTGCTTCAGTTCACGCAAGTATCGTTGATGCGTGCATTGAAACATAAGCTGGTCGTATGTTTCACGCACGCTTATTCGTACGTTATAAAGAGCGATGTTTGTTTATTAAGTATGTAAAGTAATTTGGTAATTCATCGTACAAGCTTTTTACTGTTTATTAAAGGTATTGTGTGTGTAGACAAAGTTTTGTTAATATATAAATATGTTATCTACAAATTATGAATGTTGTGACGCCGCGACATCATACTGTACGCGTACGCAATACGACTTGATTCGATGCTCTAACATAACATAGCATGTTAAAAGGTATCAGTAGTAACGAGTAACGTAACGATACGATAGTAACGAGTACTAATTGTTATAGTAACGAATACATACGGGTATGCTTTTTTTCGTTACTCTTACACCTCTAATAAGAATCCATCATGTCATTTCTTTCCATAGATGTCGGTTGGTTATGATTTTTGGTTGCAGTATAACCGTAATTGAAAATCACAATACCGGTTACATCATACTTTATGGCTTATACGCGTATTAAATTGTCAAGTATTTCAAGTAACTTATTGCATTTAAACAATGCATTTAGTAATAAGTTGCCAGTAAAAATTTAGCCTGCAAGTAAACAAGTAGAATATAATTTATTTATTCTATATTTTGGTTAAGTTAGTGGGCGTGGCTAATCATATGACACATTAGGACATATAATTACACAATGAGGGCTAATAATTTACTTCTCACCAGATGTCGCTATTTTACACTGAGGTAAAGTTTTTTGTTACATTGTAATTTAATTGAGAAGTTGGTTTTTAATAAACGTTTATCAATATTCTAGAGTATTTAATTAATACACAAAAAAATGCGTCAGTGGTTTGCTCTTTAATTTCTTTGCACATATTTAACTTTTTTTAATTTTTCTACTTGTAAGAATATCTGTGGTTTGGTTTATTTATTTTTAACCTTATTAATATAAAATATAGCTAATAGTGCAGAAAGAAACAATAACCTTTACATTTTCTGAACAAATGAACTTCCCCGCTATGAAATCTGTCAAATATTATACCTCACTTTCTAGTGGCGCGGCGCTGGCGGCAGAAAAAGTCGTGGATGCCCTCATTTTGTTAATGCATAAATTTGGCTGAGCGTCACGTTCGGAGGTCAAGTATTTGAAGATTTTTTAAAATGTTGAAGTGGGCGGAAAATACACTATGATACTACAGTAGTTTGTCCAAAATACTTAAAAGAAAAAAATCTAAGTACAGTTGCGAGAAAATATTACAAATATATGTATTTTTTTATAGGATATGGGTGACAAACAAACACACAGTCCACCTGATGGTAAGTGGTTAATGTTGCCCATAGACATCTACATCTATCTACGATTAGGAATCAAAATGCAGATGCGTTGTCACCCGTGAGGACTAAGATGGAATGCCTCATTTCCAGTAAAAAGGGTCTCCGGTTCTCTACATTCACCAATACCAACGAAACACGGCAGCGTTAAGCTGCTATTTTACGTTGGTATTGTGAGAGCGTGGTTCTTCCCCGGTCGAGCCGACCCATTCGTGCTACAACTATACTACTAATAGCTGCAGCATGGCTCTACCACGTCTAATTTTAATCGGTATCTTATGTTCAACTGTAAACAACAAGTAATTCAAGCGTTCTTTTGACTTTCTTTTGACTCTTTTGATCCGCAGTACAGAGAAATACTCTTTTTTATCATTGCCTGCTAGTTCATGGAACAAAGTTGCACTCTTCACACTCCCCGTCTTTTAGATATTCTGACTTCCTTAATTAAATCTCTCGCTTAATGAAATCATAGAATTTATGACAGGATTATGCTATTTATCATCCATCTACAACGAACTAAAGACAAATGTTATGTGTTGATAACATATAAACAGTCACTTAAAATTAATTTAATAGTTAATTACTCGACTACCGAATACGCGTAACCGTAAACGTGTATATATATATATATATATATATATATATATATATATATATATATATATATATATATATATATATATATAATATTACTGATTTCTTTTGTTCATGTTGTTCTAAAATATCATTCAATAATACAATATATAAAATTAATACATTATTTTTATTTTATGTAGTATTTCCCATCTTTTCCATCAGACGTTGCTCTTACGTAACAGAACTGGCAATTATTATTACGACTATACCGCCATCTATCGGTACATTACAGAAATTCTCTCGACTCACTTGAATAAGTTGCCTGCGTCTTTATTTCCGTCAGGTTACAATCTGGGTGCCTTCAAGGCAAGAATGAATAGGCCCTTATGCTTAGACAGCGCGATTTACCATCTATAGCTTCATCAGCACTTACCAACAGATGGGATTTTGGTCAAGCACTGACTTAAAATAAGTAAAAAAACTTGGCTTTATAAGAGTCAAAGGATACGTCTTATGCCGGCAAGTCACGGCAAATCAATATCTGTAAATTACCTTACCTCTTTTAATTTATATCTGTTCACTAGCGGAGTTTCCGCATCAACATCCAAATCTTCAGTGTTATTCGTAACCAATGTAGTAGTTTCATTTTTAGCATTTTCTATTTGCCGTAAGAATGTCGTCAAGTGAACTCTAACGGATTTAATAAATAATTCCCCAAAATCCCTACCAAATGCTACATCATTTAGATTGTTCTTCTTTGGAGTTGATCGAAGAGGTTTTATAGGTGTAGCAATTTCCAGAGAGAGATTTACTGCCGTCAATGCATTCTTTATACTGTCTACCAACTTTAGTTGAGATTGAAAATTTATTAACTGCATACATTCTTTAAATGCTTGTGTACTGGCAATATTTTCTGAGGCACACTTGGAGTAAATTTCACGGACCTACAAAAAAAATTAATAATGTAAACAAAATGAGTATCAAATGAAGGTTAAGTCCACTTATAAATTCGTCTTTTAATTCTATTTCAGTATTTTAATTTTCCATAATCGTCAACACTTCCTAGTGGAGATATTTTACCTCTTGCATTATTCAAATGGTTATTTTGCTATTTGTCCGATATTCCTTACTTTTTAAATTATATATTAAAGTAGCTGGTACCCGGCGCGTTGCAGGCGCAGAAGAAGTAATTTTGGAAATATCTTTTTAAATTTGGACGATTATATTGTTTAACTAGCTGTTCCCCGCGACTTCGTTCGCGTTTTAGGGTTTTTATGTTTCTGCGCGGAACCCTGATTCTTTTTCTAAAATAAAAGTAGCCTATGTTACTCCTTATGAAATCAGCTATCTGCCAGTGAAAGTCCCGTCAAAATCGGTCCAGCCGTTTCGGAGATTACGCGGAACAAACAGACAGACAGACAGACAAAAATTTTAAAAATTGTATTTTAGTTATAGGTATCGTATTTACTTTCATATGCATTTAGTAAAAAACTGTAATTTTGACATTACAAACAGACACTTCAATTTTATTTATTTGTATAGATTAGGAATGATAAAACATTCATTAAAGTTGAGTGATATAAAACTTTCTTATAAATTTGTCGGTACAATACGCGCGCCACGTAGTTAATTTTACTATGCCTATAACCACAATTTAAAGAGCTTACAGTTGGGAAACGAATGTGTGGCGGCGCTGTCGTGGCTCCACAAGCGAAACACATCGAAGCCTAAATCGCGCTAACAAAGCTCCGAAATTAAAGCAGTATATATAGAATAGCTCCGAACTACCAGTCGGAGCTTTGGCCGCTCTCCGGGCAGCACACCTTGCCCGGCGGGAAATCTCCCCTTTCCCTTCCACCGGCTACAAATGTCTTGCGAAGAGCAACGGTGGGGGCGGACCATCTAGTCTAAGAGCTGGCTACGAAAACGTGAACTGATAAGGTGTAGTAACGAATTATATATATATAACCTCTCCTTGGTAGCTTATAAGTACAGAGCGAGGCCCGTCAGAACTCTCTCCCGGGGCGGAAGGCGTGGGTGGGCGGTCAGTCGTAAATTTTCAATAAGAAAAAAATGATTAGGTGCAGTTCTGAAATTTGGTAGTTATAGTTTTTAACTGTAGGGATCTAGGAAAATTATTGTCAGAAGTCTAGGTCGGGGCTTAAAGACTGTCAGAAGTCGACAAAGTTGTAAAGAAATTGTTTAAATTTAAGCCACAAGGTGCAGTTCTGACAAATGCATTTTTATATTATTTGTTGCTTTTCGAAACTGTATATAAATTGTCAGGTCTTAATAATGGCTAAGTACATAAAAATTGATGATATAGTCAGAAGTTGCTGAAGCGGCTATCGCTATATATATTTAACTTACAAGTATGTACATAGTGTTAATTTATGATAATGAGCTTGATTATCAAAATTCAATTTACGAGTATTTCCATTTTCGTGATACACGCTGGACGCGTAAATACCTACGCGGACGGCGGCATCGCCAGACATCAAAGGCGTTTCACAACTGTAGGGTTTTAAAATACGTACACAGTACAAGCCTCTCCTTACATACCCGAGGCCTTTTTTCTATCGTACAGCTTATTCTCAGGTGTGATTGATCTCTCCGATTCTGTGCCTGTGCCTATGACAACTAACATGAAAATTTCTCGAAAATTCTGAATTCTCAACCTAGCACATTAATAACCTGCTCGTGTCTTTCATTTACGGATACGCAGACGATAGCACAGAAGTGGTAGGAGATATCAACCAAATACTTGAGACAGTCAAGATTGAATTTAATCCAAAAACAAGCCATAGTAATAAATCTCGCTTACTGCACGCTGTCTCCTAATTGGGCGATACCAAATTTATGAGATTTAACGCCATCAAAAACCAAACATATCAATTCACCGCAATTAGGAGCCGCCCACCTAGGCTTCTTCTACTTCCCAGAATGTTACTTTAAAATACATAAGGCATACTGAAAGTTCTGCGCTCCAGGCCGCTTGGAAAATATCCGCTTATTTAAAACATAACAAACTCATTTTGATTAAAATATTTTTGGCGGGAAAAGTTAGTAAAGTAAAGTTGCAGCCTATTTACGTCCCACTGCTGGGCACAGGCCTCCGCTCATTTCTGAGACGGTTTTAGGGCAAGGAAATGTCCACCGCGCTGTCCCAATACGTGTTGGCGAACTTCACATGTCATCGAAATATTTTTTTTTTACGGGAAGTCACGTATTAATTGTTTTTATCACATATTACCGACATAACCTAACGGATTAGTAAGCTAAAGTGAGAGGCCCTCAGCTACCATGGCTCTTAATTAGTTTCACTATATTTATAACCTAATTATAAGTTTAGATTCAATACTCACCGATTTTCCTAGAATGTTCTTTGGTAAATCTTTTAGGAACACAAAGAATAATTTAACACAAGCGTAGAAACTAAATAAATAGTCATGAAGGTTAAGCATCTCTTTGCACAAAATCTCCCTGAAAAAACTGTCATCTTCGAAAAGTTTTATTTTTTCGCGGCAGTTCTGTTTTTCTAGATAAGCTCTAAATGACAAAAGTTGTCTGATATTTTCTAAATCTTCTGTAGTTAAATCCATGACGACGCCAACAATTTTCTCTCGAGGACAACAAAGTGACTTGATATTATCTCCATAGTAATGATCCATCATGCAATACTAAAATGTAATAAGTATATTCATGGAATAAATAACTTTATATTAACAAAAGGGTGTGTACTTATGTACGCACGTAGGAAGTTATACTTCTTTAGCGTAACCTTATATATAGTTATCAGTTTCTACGAAAACTTGAGAGAGAGTTACCCAACGAAGTTATTGCTTTCAGGTGTCACTGTGTGCGCGCAACGTAACAACTTCGTGGTGTCGCTTTTTATCTGTAGGTGTGCGCGCGCATCGTAAAAAATTCAATCTCATAATTTTTCCCAAACGCTCCAAAAGAAGTATAACTTCAAAAAAAAACGTAAATATTAATGAACTAAATTATTTACCTTTATACCTTGTATAAGTCCAGTTACGGAGAAGTCATAAAATAGAAATACATCTGTTAACAATTCGAAAGCTTTTCCTGATAAATGAAATGGACTTGTGTGGGTCAAGAAGATATTTTCCAATACCTGAAAATATTTTTATTTATAAATGAATTGATTATAATATTATATATAAATGAAATAATTTGTGAAAGAATGAATGATCGAAATGAAACAGGAGATGAGCAAGAGCATCTTGCTGATAACAACTTAAAATTATTAAAAATAATTGTGGTTCCTAACCTGACCGCCAAGTGTGGCAAATATCCCCCCTATAAGATAATCTATGGAGGAGGCCTATGTTGAGCAGAAGACCTTAGATAGACTGTAATGGTATAAGTATGGTAATGTTGACAATGAATCCATCTCAAAGAGAGCAACGCCTAGTGCGTTGAGGTAACTTTTTGAAAACTTTATGTATTTTTATTTTAATATAAATGGAAGAAATTAACAAAGAGAATAACACAAAAACTTTTCTAACAATAAATTCTTAATGTGGACAATTTCGTGCAGTGCTTTTGCATTTTAATGTATGTTTTACATTATAGCGAAAGAAATAATCGGAGCCGATAATAGACATTGAAGACAAGTTCGTTATGTTATCAGGAAATGTGCAATAGCCCTCAGAAATTAGACTATATTCTACACTAAGGGCTTTTAAAGGCTGATTTTACAAGATGTTTACTTATAAGGAAATGGTCGCAATTATTTATAATGGCTGCAAATTGGAAATTTGCAGAAAACAAACGATTCATTATCATTTATTGATGACTAGCTATTCCCCGCGACTTCGCTCGCGTGTAATTTAGGGTTTTAATTTCTTGCGCGGAAACCTAATTCTTTTTCTAAAATAAGTAGCCTAAGTTATTCCTTATGACATCAACTATCTGCCAGTGAAAGTCCCGTCAAAATCGGTCCAGCCGTTTCGGAGATTAGCCGGAACAAAGAGCATTTTTGTTAAAAGGACCGTTTATACTTTCATATGCATATAGTAAAAAGCTGGAATTTTTGTCATTACAAACAGGCACTTCAATTTTATTCATTTATATAGATGTTTAGATAAATCAATATGTGACATTGTATTGCCAGTTTTCGTTATTATTTTTTACAACTTTCTTCATTAAAAGTAATAATCCACAATATTTACACAATAAAAATTTGTGAATAATTTTAAAAACTTCGAAAGATTTTATTTATCATACTTACTTGATTCATATACACCGGAGAGGAATGTGAATGAAAGACCTTTATAAGTAGTTTAGAGGATACATGATAGGGAAATGATTTATGTAACGCAGAAACTGATGTTGCAACGCCGAAAATGAGTATTATTGGCAGTTTAGATATATAGGAACTAAAAAAGAAAAAAAAATAACATAAAAATAATATAATACACAAGAAATAAAAACAAAAATTCCAAAAATGAGATGGCAATTATTAAAAATGCAACGTAAACAAAGAGGCAAATGAGTTATTAAATAAAAACATGATAGCGAGAAAAATCGAATTTACAAATCGGAATTAGTCAGTATAAAATCTCATCATCATCATCATTACAGCCTTTCATAAGTCCACTGCTGAACATAGGCCTCCCGCAAGGAATGCCACAAAGCACCGTGAGCCACCTGCATCCATCGACTTCCTGCATGTCTTACCAGGTCGTCACTCCATCTCGTGGGGGGTCGCCCTACACTTCGCCTACCGGTACGAGGCTGCCACTCAAGAACCTTTCTTCCCCATCGGTTGTCGGTTATTCGAGCTATATGGCCGGCCCACTACCACTTCAGCTTACTAATCCGTTAGGCTATGTCGGTTACTCTGGTTCTACTGCGGATATCCTCATTTCTAAGTTTATCACGCAGAGAAACTCCGAGCATAGCTCCCTCTCCATAGCTCGCTGAGCGACCTTGAGCTTCCTCATACGGCCAGCAGTGAAGGACCACGTCTCAGATCCATAAGTCATCACTGGCAACACGCACTGGTTGTATAATTTCGTTTTAAGGTTTTGAGGAATGTCTGACGAGAAGATGTGTCGTAGTTTCTCGAACGCTGCCCAGCCGAGTAGAATCCGTCGATTGACCTCTCGGTAGAAGTTGGACTTACCTAGTTGGACTATTTGTCATAGGTAAACATACTCGTCAACAACTTCGAGCTTAGTGCTCCCAACAACTACCGGCATAGGTGTGACATGGACATTGAACATGATCTTTGTTTTGTCCATGCTCATCTTAAGAACTATCCGTTGGGAGACACTATTGAGGTCATTGAGCATGGTGCTTAGATCCTCCAGTGATTCTGCCATAAGGACTATATCGTCGGCAAATCGAAGGTGAGTGATGTACTCGCCATTGATGTTAATACCGTATCCTTTCCAGTCCAGAAGCTTGTAAACGTCTTCCAATGCAGCGGTGAAGAGTTTCGGGGATATAACGTCACCCTGTCTTACACCTCTCTGCAATTGGATAGGTTTCGTACTCTGGTTCTGTACTCGGATAGCCATCGTAGCCCTACTGTACAAGCACTCCAGCACTTCGATATACCGACAGTCAACTTGGCACCGCTGAAGGGACTGCAGCACCGCCCAAATTTCGACGGAATCAAAGGCTTTCTCATAGTCCACATACGCCAGGCATAGTGGCAAATTGTACTCCTCGGACTTCTGTACAACTTGCCGAAGGGTATGTATGTGGTCTATGGTGTTAAAGCCCTTTCGGAAACCGGCTTGTTCGGGAGGATGGAAGTCGTCAAGGCTGCGCGCGAGACGATTCATGTTAAGTCAGTTTGGAAACGCCTTTGATATCAGGCGATGCCGCCGCCCATGTAGGTATTTACTATTTACGCCGTCGTCGCAAATATGCTAGGGGTTGTCTCGAAATTGGGAATAAAATAATTTTGGATATTATTATATTCATTATCATTTATTATCATTATGAACATAATTACAACATTTACTGAACAAGATCATTTTTATTACTACAAAAAATACGTTTACAAGTGTTGCACTGCCAAATATTTTCGTGACACTTTCTTTTTATAAATGTTTTCAGTTTTCGATTGTTAAATTTAATAATGTAGTGTACTCGCATTCATGTGAACAATTTTTGCAAAAAAAAAAAAAGGGAAAACATAAGTACGACCGTCATTTGAATTCAACTTTACTTAGTAACACATATAACTATAACAGTAATTCAACATTGTAGGTATAATATTTTTCTAAAACGGCACTTAAAATTTATTAATTAAGTAGTATTAATCACGCTCGCGTCAACCACATGTATTGTACAGCAGAGTTATTGAAGTGCCCTGGGACAAGGTCGCGCCGCTCCCTGCCCCACAAGGCACTCGCCATTGCAAGTACGAATGTACTTGTGCAGAGCATTCGTACATTTTAAAAAAATAAGAGTACCATCTGACGCTTTTTCTTCCGTATGTGGACTTTCAGTTGATTCTGTCGAAATTTGGACGCTGTTATAGCCCTTAAGCGGTGACCGTAAGTATATCGAAGTGCTGACGTGTTTGTGTAGTAAGGCTACGATAAAGAATCAGAGCACGAAAACTATCCAACTTCAGGGCGGTATAAAACATGATGACTTTATACATATACCCGAAACTCTTTAGTTTTATTTATTTTTTTCAATAAAATGGTAAATTGGAAGAAATTTTCAAACTACTGGACTGGACAGCATAAGGTATCAAATCATCAATGGCGAATGCATTATTGACCTTCTATTTGCCGACAATCATTTTGTCATTATGACCTCGATAGTTTCTCAAGACAAAGGTCATGTGTAACCCCCATGTCAAAACTATGCAAATAGTGGCTGGTACAACTATGCTCGAAGTTATTGACTATTATGTTTACCTAGGACAAATAGTCCGATTAGGTAAGTCCAACTTCGACCTAGAGGTCAATCGACGTATTCAAGTCGGCTGGGAAGCGTTCGGGAGATTACGACACATCTTCTCGTCAGATATACCTCGAAACTTGTAAACAAGAGTATACAATCAGTGGTGTTGCCAGTGGTGACATATGGATCTGAGACGTGGTCCTTTACTGCTGACCGTATGTAGAAGCTCATGGTTACTCAGCGAGATATGTAGAGGCTATGCTCGGCGTTTCTATGCGCGATATACTTCTAAATGAGGATATACGCAGTATAACCAGAGTGACCGATATAATCCAACGGAACAGTATGCTGAAGTAGCAATGGACTGGCTATATAGCTCGAAGTACCAAAACCGATGGGGAAGAAACGTTCTCGATGCCAGATGGAATCACGACCTAGTAAGAGGTGTAGGAAGTCGGCGGATCCAGGAAGCTCATCAAGGAGGCCGTGCTATATGGCATTAATTGACAGAGGCCTTTGTTCAGCAGTGGCCTTATGAAGGATTGTAATGATGATGCTAATAATAAATATAAAATCTCGACTCGACGACACTGCACGAGGATTTTTTATTGTGGCAGTATAGGCAGTATAGTATATTATAATCAACCAATTTGTTTTTACCAGTTATATAACTGGTAAGTGACCATGAATGGTAAGTGACAGTACCTATTACTATTATTCTATGATTGTGAACAACTACATATTAAAAATAACTACGTATTGTCATATTAGATAACTACTTTACAATGTCTACATACATTATTTTAAAGTATGTAGAAAGGCATACTACGTCCGCTTTGGTGTGTATCTTGATAATGTAGCTGAATATAACTGTTTTAGGTATTTAGGTAAAAATATACATAAAACGAATGTTGCCATATATAAGATGCGGAGTCACAGCGCTAATTTTGAGAGTATATCTATAATCGTATTTAGGTTCCGCCAAGAGTTCTGCTACACTAAGTTCTTATATGTCTTTGATTTGATAGACTAAAGGAAGTAAATACATAAATGTAATATACAAAAATGAAAACTGGAATTTAACTTAAGCTTAAAACAATGATCTGGTGAAGTTAAACTACACTGATATAGTTAAGTAGGCACACATTCAAATTTCTTTAAGAAAATGATCAATATAAATAAAATAAATAGCTTAGTACACATAACATTAACAACAAAATATATGTACACTATCTGGCCAGGCAGACGTTGTTCAGCCCTTTGTGTGGACATGTATATAATATACAACATGTAACAAAAACCCTGTGATTCCCGTTAAGTACGTTATCAGGATCAGTATTCGCACCTATAGAAATAACTTTTTTTTTAAACTGGACCAATTTTTTTTTAATATTATTAATTTTTTTTAATATTATTAATTTTTTTTTATTCTATGTGGTGCCGTGTAGTGGCGGTCAAGAATATCCACTACCCCATATCCTCCCGTGGGTGTCGTAAAAGGCGACAAAGGGAAACAGGCAGGAGATGGGCAGCAGCATCTTCCTGATAATAGCCAAATTACAATAAAAAAACTGCGGTTGCCAACCCGCTCGCCAAGCGTGGCAACTATGGCAAATACCCCCCTATGAATGACAGTAACAAAAAAACGGCCCCCAGTCCCCGGCGGCCCCGCTATTTCTGGCTACGGTGGCGACCATGGTAACGGCGGGGCAGGGGGTGCTAAGAATCTCCGGTGGAGGTTCGGTTGCCACCTTAGACGACTCGACCTGGCAACGTACAACGCACGCACCCTGAGGACTGACGAGAAGATCGTGGAGCTGGAAGAAGAGATAGACAAGTTGCGCTGGCATATTATATGATTATCCGAAGTCCGAAGAGAGGGGGAGGACACGGTAATCCTCGAATCCGGCAACTTGCTCTATCACCGGGAGGGCGACCATCTGTCCCAAGGAGGTGTCGGATTTATCGTCCACAAGTCTCTCGTTAACAACGTTGTAAAGATCGGGAGTGTGTCGACGAGGGTTGCGTACCTTATACTCAGAATCACCAAACGGTATTCGCTGAAGGTCATACAGGTTTACGCACCAACCTCGGCACACCCCGATAGTAGTAGGCGAAGTGTAGGGCGTCCCCCCACGAGATGGAGTGGCGACCTGGTAAGACATGCAGGAAGTCGATGGATGCAGGTGGCTCAGGACCGTGTTTTGTGGCATTCTTTGGGGGAGGCCTATGTTCAGAAGTGGACTTGTGAAGGGCTGTAATGATGATGAAAATGATGTGGTTTTATTGCCTCTTACTGACACTAGCCAATGCTAAAGCTAAGTAAAGCGGGGTCTTTAACAATCCTCGTACTCCCCAGATAATGCAGAGGTAATAAAACCATATACAATTTGCATACAATTTTTTTTTCAACCGGAGACCCTTTTACTGGAAATGAGACATTCCATCTTAGTACTTACGGACACGAGTGACAACGCATCTGTATTTTGATTTGTAATAGAGGATAGATGTAGTTGTCTATGGGCCGCAGCAACCACTTACCATCATGTGGACTGTGTGCTCATTTGTCACCCATATCCTATTAAAAAAAAGTATACTTTTTATACTATATAAATGCAGTAATAAGTGCAGTAATTATCATGCAATGGCAGACATCGAAATAGTTACAGGTTCCGCGCCCTTTTACTTTTAATTAGTATCTTACTCTCAAGAAGTTCTAAAAAATTTTCGCTGCTCCAATCTGCTTCCATTATGCCAATACAGAATTTGATCAGTACGCACATACTTCTATTATTTTTTGAAGTCTTTTAGGCATTTAAGCGATAGAGCAGTATTTAAGCACACACGCGCGCGCGCGCTGCCCTGTCGTCTTTGGATTCCACACGAAAAATTTCCAATTCAGAGTGTATACACCCTGCTATACACTCTCTGAATTGGAATTTTTCAGAAGAATTTAACCATTTACTTACTCGAAGTATCTGCACTTCCAAGTTTCCTTTACTACTCAACGCCGCGGGCATTCACTGAATGTAAAGAAGGCTTTGATGTGTTGACTGCTTATAAGAGGTACTTCAATTGGCAGGTGTCAACTATCACAATTATTCTAAACGAACAAAGGAATAGTCTTTCATTAACAACCATTTCTTACCTTACTATCATGACAAAATCTTGCAAAACATTACAGTGAAAACTCTCAAAATCAGGTATTATGACAACTAGAAGCCGCTTTGTGTTGGCATTTTGTTTCTTCTTGCTCGGTGAATTACAAACATACTTGCTGTCATACCACTTCTGAAGAGCTCTCATTGTGCACTGATTCTTTTTCAACCGTCGTTTTTTATGTTCGAAATTTTCATCATCACTTTCATCCTGTGAGTTATCCTGAAGTACATTATGATTTAAAATTAAGTAAAGCAAGCATATTAGTAAACAGTTCGAAAATACTTTAAATTATAATATAGATCGTAAAATATCAAATTGAAAATCGCTAGTCTGCGGGACACCTTCCGGTTCATGGAATTAGACCGTAACCAGGCTGGTGCAACTTCCGTAGTAAAAATTATATGTACGAAACGGGACCAAATTTTAATGGCGGTTATCTCTTCTTTCTACTTTTCGTGTGTCTATCAATGACATTTTCAAATCATATATATGTTCAAATGTTAAATCAAACTGTGTATTTATAGTTATTTTAATTATTTATATTGCTTTTAATTTTACTATAATAAGAGCCATTGTTCATTTACAGAATTGTTAAAAAATCAAATGTGCATTATAAAACTAAAAAATAATAACAAGAAAAGTATATTTATAGCAATATTTCCCTTAGATAATGAAAGGTATGTTATGATTTCAACTTTAATTGTAATATCATATTTAACGCGAATACATTTTTAGACCTTTATTTGTGGTAATGCCCTTCAAACCGAACAAACACACTATTTCCTATACTCAGTAGTGGCTTGGACCGAAGGTTTGTTTGGTTTGCTCCCGCAGACATACAATTGTAAGTTGGCCAACTATCGAACGACTAAATTGCGTACTTTTGTAATTTAATCGACCAACTTTCTTTTATTGGTTACCAGCCGCAGACTTAATCGATTAAGTCCGTGACAGTGTTACTAGCGCGATGCGTGTGCGTGATAATGTGGAAATGATGCTCTAATTGCATTAATAATAAAAACAGAACATTTTGGGTGCATCCTTTTTGAAAAGAACTTTTTTGTACAACACTGGCCTTTTTTGCTTTTCATTTATGAGCTCTTCTACTTTTTCGTCTGCAACAAGTGATAGGGTGGCAGATGTCGCACCCGTCGGCGAAGGCCCAAGTCCGAGCGTGGGGAAATTACGCGCGCGCGTCGGTTCGTCTTGCATGTTGCCGTGCCACTAACCAATAAAGTTGGATAGTCCGCGAGCTTGCATAGGGTAACCGTGCTAACGAGCAGTTGGCCGATAGTTGGACAACTTTTTAATTATGCATAGTCGGAAGGAAATCTCGATTCTGATACGATCGGTGTCCAATTAATTAGTTGGACGATTTTGTTAGACGAGATGTGTGGGCTAACATACGTCACTATATCTATTGGTATACTCTGAGATTTAGTTGTTCAACTTATAATTGTAAATCTGCGGTCCCTCTTAACCACTGCGCTACGGAGTCGTAATTGATTTTCTACTTAATTAATTACTATAGATAATTCAATTAATTGGCAGATCGCCCGCGGGGTAAGAAGTTTGTTGGAGGGAATGACGTACAGGCGTTACAGGGCAGTCAGGCGGGGGCGGGCGGCAGGGAACATTTTTCATGTTTAGCAGTTCACTCTACGGATGTGACATTGTGTGAAAAAATCGATTAATAAAAAATCGATTATTTGCTTTGTAATATTAATCGATTTAGAAAAAATCGATTTTTATTAGAAGTAATAATCGATTTTTGCGGAAAAAATTCTTTTATTCGAAAAAATGCCTGCTTTCCTATAATATATTAATAAAACTACGATATTAGTATTACGTTAACAATTTATCAGAATATAAATCAAATAAAATGATAAGTATAATAATTTAAAATTAAAAATTTTGTACAGCCGACTTCAATATAAGTTATTTAAGAATAACTTAAAAACTATTGGTCTGACCTTGATCAAATTCATATGGGACCACACGAGAAGTACCAGCTTTCAAATAAAAAAAGAATCATCGAAATCGGTTCACCCAGAAAAAAGTTCTGAGGTAACACACATAAAAAAAAACGAAAAAAAAAAAAACGAAAAAAAAAACATACAGTCGAATTGAGTACCGGCTCCTTTTTGGAAGTCGGCAGAAAAATAATCAGAACGACAATCTACTGGTTTCAAAACTAAACCACAAAACAATTTTTTTAACCTATAACTTTTAACAATAAAAAACTAAAAATAATTACTGCTACTATATACATGTCATTTAACAATTTATTAGAACCACAATAAAAAGAAACGTTTAAGTTTAGTAAACGATAGGTTTTTTTAAGTAAGTTTGAACAAACAAAAAATCTAAATATCATTATTGCCACAAATGTTCAGTATCATTGACATTGGATTAGAATGAAAATAAAATAAAACTATAAATTTAAATAATCAAACCTTTTGGTCTCAAAACTAATATACAAAATAAATATTTTTTTAAACTTGTGTAAACAAAAAGAGTAAAAAAAATATTTCCATAAATTTTCATTTAAAAACAATAATTTTACCAACATTCTTCTTCGTCTCTTTTGTAAAATACAGTTACGTTTTTACCTGACAATATTTCCCGCTTTCGAAAATAATCTTTCGGCTGGCACGAAACTGGCCATCACAAAGACGTGTTTTAGAACCAATTCGGTTAGTTTAAGGAAAGTTTCTTCAGAGCTCCATGTACTGAGGGCATCTGCCTTAAGATTTGATAGTGATGCCGCAATATATAGGTCCAATTCAGTATTTTTGCCTATTGACGTGTTGGCCGCTATTATTTTTTCATTATAAAATACATCCGTCAGCCACTTTTAGGCATTTTACAAGACATTTTTATTGTTTAACAATTATTTACACTTTCTAAAGAAAGAAAGAAAACCACAGATTACTTTTACTCCTAGCGGAGAAAGAAAACTGTTTGAAACATACGAAAGGCGAAACTGTTTTACATACATAGAGATACATACAGGTGGCGCCGTCTTTTGATGACTTGTTCATGTTAGTGAACTTACTTCGCGTTTTTCCATCTGTCGCACAGATGACGCTGTTCTTTTCATCGACTTATTCATGATATTGAACTTCTCGTTTTTACATATATCGCACAGATTACGCTGATTAGAAAAATCGATTAAAACACGTAATTTACGTAATCGATTTATTAAAAATCGATTTTTATTATCAAAACAATCTACTTTTAAAAATCGATTATTAGAAAAAAAAATCGATTAATATGAAAATCGTTTATTTTTTCACATCCCTAGTTCACTCGCCGATCTCGCAATGGACAGTTGATTATATCTGTCACGGACCCTTAGAACAAAACGCACACGCGATTATAGTGCCACAATCAATGCCTAGATGAATCGCCCTCAGACTTTTGCTAAGAAAATTAGCAGGCAGGCGAAACAAATGGCATACAACGTTTATCCTTTCCTTAAAGCTAGAAAATAAGATCGAAGTTCTACGGAGTATCTACAAAACGTAAACGTGAACAAAATGGTTGCACAAACAACAGGACTCTCGTTGTCTTAAATTGTATATAATTAAACAAGGCAACGATCTGAAACGTGAACAGAATAGCGCGGTTTTTAAGTCGCCAACAAAAAAGATACAAATCCAAAAGAAAAATATTGTAATAGATAATTTTACCGAAGGCGTAAAGGTAACTCAATTTTATACTATTTTTAAGAAGGTTCATACCATAGATAAATATATATGTAGCAAGCGTTCATACAATTAAAACTTTAAATGCTGATTTTAAAGAAGAAGGAATTATTAAAGGCAGAATATTTGAGAATATTGTTGCACAAACTTTGCTTTAGATTTAAGAAATGTTAGTCGAAATGATAGCTACTTATTGAATCTTGGCGATGGAGATATCTGAATGCAATAACGAAGCATCGGAGAGATTAGAGGAACACCGTTTACCTCGATGAAACATACGCCAATTCCTCCTTAAATGTCTCAGCGTGTTGGCAGTCTACAGAAGAAAGAGGAGTGCTGTCACATATCGGCAAAGGGCTACGTTTAAATATTGTCCATCTGATTGACTGATTTTTACTTTTAATCAAAAAGTAAATCTGGAGATTATCATAAAGACATGAATTTTCAAAATTTTAATAAATGGACAAAAGAAAAATTATTGCCAAATTTACTACCACATTCCGTGATTGTCATGGGTTTATTGTAACGCTGCTTATTATTCTGTACAAGTGGATATAAAGCCCATGATGGCGTCAACAAAAGCCGACATGCAGGTTTCGCTGCAAAGACATAACGTGGACTTTAATATTTCCTTAAGGAAATGAGACTTACATTGATCAAGCAACACAGACTGAAAATGTTTATAAAATTGACGAAGTATTAAGGTCTTAACGACTTCCACCATACCACCCAGACCTGAACCCGATTGAGTTGGTATTGGGAGATATCAAGGGACAACTGGCAAGAAATGAACTTGATAGCAATTTGAATAACAAAAAAATTGCACTGGAGCAATTATTCGCGGAATTATCTGTAAAAAAAAATGGGAAGGCTGTGATAGCCATGTCCAGGAAATTGAAAACGAGTATTGTCAACACGATCAAATACTCGATAATGTTATGAATCAAATGATAATGAGGGCTAATAATTTTCTGCTCACCAGATGTCGCTAATTGACACTGAGGTAAAGTTTTTGTTACACAATTTAATTTTTTTTTATTTTATTGAGAAGTTGGTTTTTAGTAAACGTTTATCAGTTTCTAGAGTATTATATTAATACACAAAACAATGCGTCAATGATTTGCTCTTTATTATTTTTTTATAAAATAAGGGTGACAAACGAGCACACAATCCACCTGACGGTAAGTGGTTGCTGTCGCCCATAGACATCTACATTTATCCTCAATAAAGAATCAAAATGCAGATGCGTCGTCACCCGTGAGAACTAAGATGGAATAACTCTATTCCAGTAAAAAGGGTCTCCGGTTCTCTGCACTCACCATACGAAACACAGCAGCATTAAGCTGTTATTTTACGCTGGTATTCTGTGAGAGTGTGGTCCTTCCCCGGTCGAGCCGACCCATTCGTGCTACAATTATACTATTAATATAGCTGTAAAATGGCTCTACTACGTAAAAAATTTTTTTGCACATTTTGAACTTTTTTTAATTTATCTACTTTTATGAATAT